CGTGCAGTCCCGCAGCCATCGAGGCTGGCAGAGACCTTTAAGATGGAGCAGTGCGAGGCAGCACTGCCGCTGTAACCCCTTGGATACTGAACCTCAGCACCTCTGGAGCTCAGCTCCGGGCACCGTGACTGCACCGCCTGTGTGGGCAACCTAACAGGAAAAATGCTTCTTTAGTATCCAGTCTGAATCTCTCCTGTCTCTAAGGCCATTTCCCCTTATCCCAGAATTGATTAGAAATCGATTGGAAAATACCTCTGAGATCGAGTCCAACCTGTGACCAAACACCACCTTGTCAACCCTACCATGGCTCTGAGTGCCACATCCAGACCTTCATTAAACACCTCCAGGGATGGTGACTCCACCACCTCCTTGGGAACCTGTCCTCACCTCCTTGGGAACCTGTTCTAATGTCTAATCATCCCTTCTGTGAAGATATTCTTCCTCACACTGATATTTCACTCGAGGAACATGAGTCTGCCTGAAGAATTCTTTGCTCGGACACCTTCTCCTTCAATATGAAAACTTTGAGATTGGGAACAGTTTGGGTGGGAGATTTAACCAGAGCTGAGGACACCTGGCACCTGCAGAGCCAGGTCCTCCACTGATGATTAATTTTGGCCAGAAACTGGACAAAAAGTCACATTTGAGCCATGTCACACCAAAATGTTAGGGTAAAGGAAAGTGAGGTGTTCAAATGGACCTGACAACGGGCAAAATTTGGCCAACATTAAATTTTTCTGGGTGCAGAGACAAGACTCTGGCCCCAGGGAGATGGAGGTGTCTCCTCAGGTGTCATCTCCAAGGGGTTTGATCGGTGTGTGGCTCATGGAAGACTGCAGGTACCACTGCAATGAGGCTGGGTGTGTCATCTGGTGACTTTTTTACCCAGAATGTGGTTTTGAGCATGCTTCAGGAAAAATGTAATCCTGTTTTGCAGCAGGTGGTGATGGGTTCAGCACAACTCTAGGAAGCTGGGCTGTGTTTTAGTAGCCAACAGCCAGGATTGTCACAGACTACTTGCTCAATTCAACCCTTTTCCACCACTGATTTGCAAAGCATCCCATTTTTTCTTATGCATTTAATATACAAATCACTGGAATCTAACATGTCTGATTTCCAATGTCTTCTCAGTTAATTTTTCTCCCTGAAAGTGCTTTTTGTGCTTCCAAAGACCCTTTTCCCAAGCAATTAAAATCAGGATTCTGATGAGTCTCTTGCTTGATGTGCAAGACAAGTTTTCTCTAGAAAGGAGGGAATTTCTGTGTTAGGGATAGCACAAGGCCCAGTTTACATTTCCAAATAGATAAAACAGGCACTTTGCTTCATGTAATTTGCAGCTAAGTACCTAATTAAGTAATTGCCTGTTAATTCAAAGATTGCTTTTCGTGCAACTGGCTTTGAAAAAGTCTTGTCTAAAAACAAGCAGAAAAAGAAAAAAATAAATTGTTGCTTTTCTTGCCTGATTTTAATTACTCTCTTTATCTCCCAGAGAATGTAGTGCCCCAGGACTGTGGTGCAGGGGACCAGAGGTGCATGGGAGCTCCCAGCACTGAGCACATTTAGGAAGTCACTAATATTTGTGTAATTAATTGATTTTCAGGCTCCTCCTTGTTGCTCTCTGAAAGCATTTCGAGCTCCACACACAGAAGCTGTTTCTCAGTGAGCAGCTGTGGGGCATTTGGCTGATGGTTTTGACAGCAGAGATGAATTGAGGACGTGGCATCTGCAGTCCTGACCTGGAATTTGAACCCTTTAGTGCCTCTCCCTCCTCCCAGATGGAGAGGAGGCGGAGGATCTCGAAATCTTCTGATTGCCATCGATCTGATTTTGCTGAGCACTGGCCTCGTATCACATCTGTGTGTTCCTTGAGAGATGATTTCAATCTGAAAAAACCCCCTGTAAGTATCTTGAGAGCTGGAAATCAGATGCTCTGATCTAACATTTCTCCAGCATTTAGCCATTACCTCTACAACCAGCACCTCATTTAAAAAAAAAACCCAAACATGGAGTGTAAGGAAAACCATGAGATAACCTTGCTGATTTTGAGCCCTGACTTACATGATTTTCCTTTCTGATATTTTTGGAGGGAAGAGGGAATTGGATCATATTTATATTTTTTTTTTCCACATCTGTAAGGACTAGACATTTCTTTAACAGAGGGGAAAATAAAATAAATTGAGAATTCCAGGTGGTAACATGAAAGAAAACATGAATACTTGGAAATTCATGCTCATTAGTACTCCACAGATGTGGCTCTGTAGAGCTGAAGCTAGCCAGGACCAGGGTATAGAGATGAGAACTGCACATAATTGAAGCCCTGATTAATTAAAAGCAATCTCTTGGCACAGACAGTGATGGAGCATCCTTGGGTGGATCTGCACATGTCCCTGTGGACGTGTGCCCCAGGCCCTGCTGCCTGTGTGGGCAGGCAAGGGGTACAAAAGCGGCTTTGCCAAGGAAGCCAAGGCAGGAGGAGCAGGGAGCCACCCCTGCACTGCAGCCTCAGGTGTGCTGCCGCCCCCAGCACTCACCTGCCCCTGCTTCTCCAGGGGCTCCACGCTTGGAGCAGCTGCTGGAAGGGACTCAGGGCATCAGAAGGGGAATCCTGTGCACACAGGGGGTGTCCTTTTCCTGCAGGATCATGAAGAAAACCCTGAGAGAGTAGTGATGGATCCAGCAGCAGCCCTGGGGAGGCCCCACACTGCTGGAGCCACCAGCTTCATGGAACATTTTCCTGGAGTCCAATAGTGATTTTCTAGACTTAAAAACTGATCACATTTCCTTTCCTCCCTCCTTCCCTCCCAAAGGCATTTTTTGTCATCTGTGTCCAAAACTTCCAGCAGAAACTCCATGATTGGAGCAATTTGGTCCAATGCCATGAGAAGTGACTGCTCCACACACTTTAGGAAGAGCAAAAAGGAGAAAGAAAAGAAGGTGAAGCCCTCTGTGCTGTGCCTGATCACTCATCAAAGCCAGCTGCCTCCTGTGCTGGCTTGAGGACATGACAGATGTCTGCAGCCTTTACAGGTGCAGGGCCTGCATTTCATCAGTCTTTTTCCCATGGGTGACCTGCAGTGTGGTTTATTAGCAGCTCAGATTTCTTTGGCCAAGGTGTTGTGTTGTGTACACATCCGGGTTAAAGCTAAGCAATATTTCTGATCCATGTAGGATTCTGACTCGGTCCTGCATCTCTGGTGTTTACAAAATGGTCAGAGCTTGAACTCTCCCTGTTCTGTTTCTTAAATGTCAGCAGAAACTTTTTCTTTTTTTTAAAAAATAAAACAATGCAGCCTTCCCCTGCAATGTTTGTAACCAAGAAACTGTGGCATCACAAGAGCATGAGGAAATACTGGCTGATTAAAACCAGGGTAAGAAATGACAGCGAAAGTGTTTGTCTTTTTTTTTTTTCCTCATTTCAGAATTCACAATGAAGTTGCTGCTAAAAAGGGACCAGCTGGTTCAGCCCCACTTGGGCTGAATATGATGTTTAATGTGCTGAAACTATGAAACTACTTCTACTGGCAAACTTTAGTGTGATAATTTAATTTCTCATGTAAAGCATATCTCACAGCATGACTTTTTCCCCTACCTCTCTCTGTTTTGACAAAGTAAGTTTGGGCTATTGTTGGTTTGCTTTGTTTTTTGTCTTCTTCCTGCTTCTCATTAATATACAAGTGGTATTAAATAGTAATGATGCCAGTATTGACCTCTGCTGTGCCTTGGTGTTTGCTCATTTTTGCTTCAAGGAGCAGATGTTGTCTGTCTTTGTTTTCTGTTGCCAAATGGGGACTTTGCCCCTTTAACCTTTGATAAGGTGCATTAATAGTCTCTGATGTGAGATTTTATCAAAAGCCACGTAAATCACACCTGCCTGGCAGCTTTTTTTAAACATTCCCATTGTGGTTTACAGCAGTTCAAGAAAGTGCAGTTTCCTCTGTGTTTTTGCAGGCTGCATTTATCCCCTGCACCCAGCTGAGCATCCTCCATGGAGGGAGCACCCATGGGGGCTCCTGGGGTTCTGCACCCTTGGGAGCTCCTGGGGTTCTACTCCTGGGGTTCTGCATCCATGGGAGCTTCTGGGGTTCTGCTCCTGGGGTTCTGCACTCATGGCCGGGCTCCTGGGGTTCTGCATCCATGGGAGCTCCTGGGATTCTGCTCCGGGGGCTTTGCACCTGTGGCAGGTCTCTTGGGGTTCTGCACCCTTGAGAGCTTCTGGGGTTCTGCTCCTGGGCTTCTGCACCCATGGGAGCTCCTGGGGTTCTTCTCCTGGGGTTCTGCACCCATGGGAGCTCCTGGGGTTCTTCTCCTGGATGATGCTCCAGCACCAATCCCTTGCCAGCTCCACCCTGTAGCAGTCAAACAGGGTGATGTTGCCTATCAGTGACCTATGGGGTCTGACTAGACTCACCTGGAGCCCATTTTCCATCAGTTGCTGATGTGGGATGGGGAGGGTGGTGTATACACACTGCTGCTGGGGTCTTGGTGCTGGTTCCCTTGCTGTGTGCCCAGAGAGGGGCTCCTGGCTGCTTTTGCACCAGCAGTTAAACACCACTGTGCTATAAAGCTGCTCTAACCCTCCCTATGAAGAGGCAACCTCACAACATCTGTCTCTTCCTCATCCCTTTTACAGCATTTCATACTTTGCTCCTGCACTTGGCCTCCCCAAAAGCTGCAAGGGAAAGTTCACTGCTCAGTTTCTGTTTGGTTTTTTGCCCAGGCACCTACATGGCTTGAACAAGCAGCCACCAGCCCTGGGCTGGGGTGGTGAGGGCTCTCCCCAGGGTGGGCAGGCTGAGTTGTACCTCAGGTGGAAGCATGCCTGTCTCTGGGAAGCCTTATGGGCAGTTTGGGAAGGTGGCATTTTGTGTCTGAAATGTGCCTGTGTGCTCTCCCACGGCCTCTTGCAGTGTTAGTGGCTGCTTCTGTTGAACCCCTCTTGGATTTACACACATCTCTGCAAAACTGCATTGGATTTGGTATTCCCACCCTGCCTGTCACATCCTCATGGTGTCACATGTGGGGGAAGCATTTCATGGAGCCCCTTTGTTCTGCCAGTCTGGGGCAGCAGGCACAGCACAGCTGCTCTTTGTTCCTGGGCAGCACACAGAAAATAAAACAATCACACAGGGCCTGGTGAGGCAACAGCCTCTGCCACACTGCCCTCAATGTCACTGCCCAGCCCATGTGGGAACCTCCTCCTTCCCCCTCCAGACCTGGAGTTTCACCTGTGCTGACAACACCTGCATGGGGACAAGCCTTGTGCCTTACAGTGCCCGCAGAATGCTCCTTGTGTCCCTCTCCCTTTGCAGGGCTTCGTGTCCCTAAGCCACATCCCAGCAGACTTGAGCCTGAGTGTCCCCAAACATTCCCCACTTCCTTTGGCAAAGCTGCTCCTGCAGTGGGGATGGCAGGGGCACAACCCCATCACCACCACCATTGCTTTGCTCCCAAGCACACTCAGTGCTTTTCTGTGCCAGGGTTTTCCCAAGGCTGGAACTGTAAATAATCCAGCAGTGTCTCCTCCTGCCCAGCTCTGCTCTCTGCTCCCTCTCTTTGTTTCAGAAGGAGCTGTGTGGTTCTGCCAGCCAGAGCTGCAGCCACCAGATACAGGCTCCCTTGGGATGAGCCTCCAACACTGACTTCCCAAATTACTGTCTGGAGTGAAGGGTGCAGCCAAGCTGAGCCAGCAATCCTATTCCAGCTGCTGGCACGTGCCAAAACATCTGCCTGCCTGTGCTGTGCTTGCTGATGGAGCTATGAGCAGCTCCCAGCATGTCATTTGGGAATATAAATTGAGTTTCTCCGAGCTGGAACCACCTGCTTCAGATAATTTCTCTGGCAAGGAGTCTTATTCTCCATCCAGGATTTTCCTGCTTTCCTCTGCTGCCAGCCCTGTGTAGTAGCTGGGGGGTTGGTACTGATGGGTGGGAATTTAGGTGAATGCAGAGGGGAAATGTCCTGCTGCCAAAGCACAGCAGAGGGCAAATGTGCTGTTTAAACCATAGAATTTTAGAATCCCTGACTGGTTTGAGTTGGAAGGGACCTTTAAAGTTCATCTAGTCCAAACTCCTGCCATGGACAGGGACAGCTTTAAATATATTGGGCTGGTAAAGGCCAACCTGGCCTTGAACACTTCTAGGGATGGGGCATCCACAGCTTTTTGAGATGCCAGGCACTTCTTGGTGCTGAACTAAGGCTGGTTGATGTGCAAGCAGGGAAACAAACAGCTCCCTGGGAAACAAGTGGCTGTTGCAAGGAGCAAAATGACCTCAGCAAACCTGGAAACCAGAGGTGCGGGAGTGAAGGATGCTGCTGCTCCCAGCTTCCTTTTCCCTCCCTAGGGTGACATGCAGCCAGCCGTCCAGGTCTGTCCCTGTCCCTTCTCCTGCCCCAGCAGTATCCATTAGATGAGTATGTAATTAGGATCCCCTAAACACACCTGAGCTGTTGAAACAGAGCTGAATCCCACCCAGAATTGTGCCAACCAGGCTCTTAAAACTTGAGCAAATGAGGAAAAGTAGTTTATATGGGAAACAGGTGTAACATCAGCAGAGCACTCTCGGAGCTGCAGGTGAGGTGCCCTATAAGAGTCCAGGTGTGCCCAATGCCACCTCTCATCTCCTCAGGGATAACCAGCTGTGCCATGGTGTGTTTTCCCCATGGAAAAGCAGAAACAAACCAAACCCAAGCCCCTGAGCAGGGGCTAGGTGGTTTGATCTCCTTGAGGGGTTGGATGTGAGTGTGTTGCCATAACAGTCTCACAGGAACATCTCTCCTGCTCCCAGTCCAGGCTAGCAGGGGAATGAGGATTGCTGAGCCCACAGGCAGTGGCTCCTCCAGGAAACTCCTGGAAAGCCCCTGATTTACATGCACCAAGACATGCAAAGGCTGTTTGAATGGAGGGCTAGATCCTTGGAGCTGCCAGGAGGTCAGACCCCTCTGGTGGGACTGGCTGGGATGAGGGGGTGGATGGAGGAGGGTGTGAGGGCTCCCCATATCTCTGTACCCCCAAATGCAGCCCTGCACTCAGCAGATGCACCTGGCAGTAGTGGGAAGTGCTCCACATTCTCCTAAAGGGCTTTTCCCCAGCATTTAAAAGTAAAACCCACAAAATCCCACAGGGAGGGAAACAATCACACATTAAATCTTCCCATTTCTCCATTTCTTTCCCATTCCCTGCATCCCACTGCTCCTCCTCCCCTCCCTGCTGACAGATTTGAGTGTGTTTTCCCAGGATTTGTGCCCAGCATTGGCATGAAGTGAACTTTGCACAGCAGCCTCTGCCTTTGCAGGACCTGAGGCTGGAGCAGTGTGGAATGGGGCAAATGCTCCCTGGGGAGAGCATCCCTCCAGGTGAGGCCTTTCCCTGTGCAGACAGGGAGGCAAAGCTGCTGATGGGCAGTGCCTGGGGGAAGCAAAGCCCAGCAGAGAGCCCCCCGTGCCCGCTGCTTTGATTTCCAAAAGGCAATTAACACCCGCCCGGTGCGGCTCCATTCCAGAGAGCAGAGCAGCAGGAAATAGCTGCTCTTCCCAAATGCAAAGCATTGCCCCAAGCCCCGTCTGCTGCCAGCTTGAGTGATCCCTGTGGAGCCCAAGGAGTCACAGCAGAGCCAAGGCTGAGCGCTGTTTTTAACTCGGGTTTTGATTTAATCCAAGCTGCAGAGCTACATCTCTATGACCAATATCCTTAGCACTATCCTTATAGCCAGAGTGTAACCGATGGGCCAGGGAGTAGATGTGTGCTTCAAAAAATGGAGTTTCCCCACTTTACTTAGGGTTGGTTTGATCTCTGCACAAGCTGCTGTGAATGTGGGATTGTGAGGAATGGAAGCAGGATGGGTGGATTGCAGCAGAGGAACAGGGAGCTGGGGCTGGCTGCTGGTGCCACTGAAACTGCCACCAAACATCAGCTTCATGAGCACCTCCTGACACTCAGCAGGTAACACTGGGGCCAAAGGAGCGAACCCTTCCCATTCCTGCCAGTTTGGATAAAATCTATAGGCACTGCAATGTCTCTTGTTTATAGAATCACAGAATGGTTTGGGTTGGAAGGTGCCTTTAGAAATCACCTGGTTCCAAACCCCCTGCCATGAACAGGAACTTCTTCAACTAAACCAGGCTGAAGTTGAAAACTTAAACCCCAGCAAACCTGACCATGAATGTTTCCAGGGATGGGGCATGTACCACCTCTCTGGGCAACCTCTTGCAGTGTTTAATCGATTTCATTGTAGAAAATATTTCCTTTCTATTGAGTCTACCATCCCCAGGGTGATTTTTGTGGTGCACAACACAGGTGGTCATGATGGTCCTGCACTGCTGGTGGTGCCATCTTGCACTGGACCCTCAGCATCCCACCTGGATGGGACCATTGGCATGACAGGGATGGGCAAGGTTTGCTCCAAGGGAATCCCCACTCCCAGGAGATGAGGCCAGATATCTCATTGAGTGAGTCAACTGCTCCTAGAAGCAAATACTGTGGGCAGTTTTGGGCACCACAGTATGAGAAAGATGTTAAACTCTTAAAGAGTGTGCATAGGAAGGCCACAATGATGGTGAAGGGTCTGGAGGGGGAAGCTGTGTGTGTAGGGGCTGAGGTCACTTGGTTTGGTCAGCCTGGAGAAAGGGGAGACTGAGGGGAGGCCTCATTGTGCTCCTCAACATCCTCATGAGGGGAAGAGGAGGGGCAGGCATTGAACTCTTCTCTGTGGTGA